TGATACTCATGGATTAAAAGGATCATGTGACACCAAAGATGATATTATCGAACCAGGTGTTACTGTGCTAAGATTAGTTAGAACTCTTACAGGCGGTGACGTCACAGGCACGCTGTCAATTGAGCTATGAACACGATGTCGATTATTGGTTTGTTGGTTTTTTCTAATTAGGTCACGTGTTGATAGTATCGTGCTGATCTTGCGTACAGAGTTCATCTGCCACAATTTCAGTCTACGAATTGTATATGTCTACGACCTCGTAATTTTATATTGGGTCGGACTTTACATCCCAGCAGAGACATCGTACGAGAGCTTTATCCTAACATTTCAGCCAATCACTACAGAAACAGATTTGTACTGGTTATCATAATTTTCAACTATTTTGACGGGATTCATTATATGATTAAATAATGACGCAGTGATTTGATAGATAATTTTAATTAAAAAAAAAAGGTTGGGTAGCTCCATGGGTGACTGTACCATGTCACGCATTGTGGACCCTGACACGTGCACACTCAATGTGACTTTGAGCCGGTCATACTAGGAAAGTTTGTAGACCGTCTCGATCATGATTGTTTTGTAATGTTATTGGAGCACGCTCAAACTTCGCTCGATGTGTTTTTAGATTTAGTATGCCCGTCGATTTTTGGATTCACTTTTAGCTGAAATTGGATAGAAAGACACTTTCAGCAAATTGCCTAGTTGTAGTTCACGTGACTGTACGAGTCCGAGGACTTTGAAATATCATATTTGTAAGAAATATGTCACTTACATACACACAATGTACTAAAATAAAAGCTATAATATCTGTGTGCAAACCCGCCATGACGTTGGTTATATTTTTATTTTTCAACAACTCGATTAAACTTATAAAGGTGCATGTCAATGGTAAATTCATCCGACCATCTGCTATATCTGTTTATACCTCCACGAATGACACAGCTTGCTCAGAATGAAATAAACAAGTTGTTTATACGAAATTACATAGAGATGTATTATTGCAGCTGGAATCCAGATTGCAACTTGATATCTGACTTGGTATCGTTCCCAGGGTTACCATACATCTATTTTATCTCAATGTTGTCTTTCAGTCTTCATTACAATAATAAATCGAAGTTTCGGGATTTATTAAATACTACTTTAATTGTCATTGAATTATTACGTTTCCTGCATTTCAAACAGTTCACCAAACAAGTCCAGAGGAAGCCCAATCCAAAATCACACTCAGAGTACTGTGTAAATTACCACGT